TATGGTTATGATTTATAAGTTGTACACTGAGGCAAAACCATACTAAATGAGAAAGGGGCACCATTATGAAAGTGGAATGAACTCAGTTGCCTGAAAAGGGTAGTTTGAACATGTGTGGCCTAAATAAGCTAAACCCCCCTCCCTTACCTTATTTAGGCCATATGTGGCCTAAATAAGCACTCCCAAAAGGAAAACTTCCCATTAGCAGTCAAATGTTCAAAATACTATTTTTTTGTGTTTTAAAAAAATTTCCTTTTTTGCATTACTAGATCTAGATCTACTGTATGTTGCGTACAATATAATACAGGGAGTATACTTGGGACCTTATTTTTGGGGAAAAATCGCTCGTATTGTAGGCGAGTATACAGTTGTGAGAGGCACAGACAATGGAGAGGCACTAGGGAAATAAAAATCCTTGTTCAAGACATGCACGTGAATGTGGAATAAATGTGGCAACTAAAGTTTTTAATTTCAGGAGACTGGGGTCCCAGAAGGTCTGCGTTCTCTCCGCCACAAGGGTGTGGCCATGGCCCGGCTGACACGCTCCACTGAGATATACTCGTCAACACGCTTATGAGCCTCATAGTGTAGCAGCAGCTCTGACATGGCTTTTTCTTCTATCTGAGGAGAAGGAATATAACCACAGGAATACAACTGTAATGTCATTATATCATAAAAATTACTATGAAAAGTACAGTGTTTGCTAATGATTTACGAAATTATTTTTTACTCCGCAATATCTAAAATAATTCAGGGCTGCCTGTCTAAAATTTCCCATTTCCGGTAGATTCACTGTCAAGTTCAGGTAAAGTTTGGGCAAAAATCATGAAGTAGGCTACATAGACACAGAATGAATAAAAAAAGACAAACGTTACTCCAGTACAAATAGTTACCAATGAGCGGAGCTTGCTTATAACTTACTTAAAGCAATTATTAGGAAATCCTATTTCAAAAACTTGTATCATTCTATACTTGTAAAAAAAATAATTTTAAATATTTATGTACTGTTGTCTAAGGCTCTTCAAATGTGGATCTGAACAAAGGAGGGATGCCAAACTTGTCTAAATATCCATAGCCTGTACCAATGAAGACTAAAAAAGCATGTATTATATTTCCTGACAAGGACATGCCAAGAGGACACTGATAAGTCCTGTGTGACTTAGGTAGGCTATCCAAGACAAATTTTAACTAGTTTTCCCCTAGCCATATTGAAGAGACATAAATCTTCAATAAGGCCTGTGGAAATGCCAGAACATCGCTTAATAATAGTTTTATAGAGATATAATTTGTATAGCGCAAAACCCCACTCAACAGTAAGCTCTATGCGCTTCACAATCTATACTATTACCCCAGCAGACCTGAGAGCATTCTGAAACAACCTCTACTTCCTGGGAAGCATACAGTGCAAGCACCCATTTATAGGCGCTAAAACACTAACATACTGACAAGATCTTTCACTGCCTATGGCCGGGTACCCATTTCCACCTGGGTGAAGTGAGGAAAATTCGTGCAAAGTGCCTTTCCCAAGGACACAACGTCAAGTCCGAAGCTCGAACCCCTGATCCCGCAACCTCACAATTACGAGTCCGGTAGCCTAACCACTAGGCCATCAATGCCACACTTATCCCTACATCATGTCTGTATTTCAGCATTCATGGATTCTAAATTGCCATGTAGGATAAAACTACTCATTGAAGGAAAAGCTTCAAAGAGCAAAATGTAAAAGTGAAAGTGGCAGAAAGCATAATATAATTTTTGTACTGTAATCAAGTATGTAGTGACAAAAATCTGGCAATCACCGAAACACGAACTATGGACTGAGTAGGCCTAGATTGTGAAAAATGCTAAATCACTAATCACAGGCTATCATGATCCTCGTATACAACAAGGACATAAGTGTGCTATGCCGCACAACACTCTAAATCTAATGATATTAGAACAATTTGGTTCCCATCTTATCCTCAGGTATCTCGTCGAGCAGTTCAAGTGCATCTTAAAAAGAAAATATGTTTAGTTTTTAGTTTAGTATGGGGTTTTACGGCGCTTGCAACTGCAAATGGTCATATGAGCGCGCGAAAAACAAGTTGGTTGCACACCTCTCCATCAGAGGGATTTCTCAAGCATTTCTGTAGTGGAATTATTAATGGCTTATGCTCCTTTGGGGGTAAAAGGAAAGACAGACCTTAAACAATCAATATTTCCTGTCTTACTCATGGTAGGCCTACATATTTTGCTTTTTCGCATTATGCATCATAAAGATAGAATGAGATCATCAGCGCTCTGGGACTAATAATAATAATAATAATAAATGACATTTATATAGCGCTCAACCCCGAATAAAGTACACAGGCTCTGAGCACTTTACAATACAGTACAACATACAATAGTAACATGAAACGTGTTCTGACTAAAGAAAATTATTCCAAATATTCATCTTATTAATTTAAAAACAGAAAAGACTTCAGCTGACATTTGAATGAATCAAAAGATATGATTTCTCTC